AACGGATACGGAGGCCAAGACGCAGCAAGCCGGTGCCTAACGATTGTCAGAGACTCAATCAAGTGTGCAACCACCATGTCAAACATCGACACGGAGCAATCCAGGCTCCGGCTGTGCCTTCCAGCCCCCCCTCTTTGTTATGGTGGTGTAGCAATCTCTCAAGGTTATTCATCCGTACGGACTGGATACCCAGCCCTCTTCTTCATCCACAGATTGACAGTTGTATGGGCCCTCCGAAGAAGACCCCTCCTGAGGTGCACATCCCGACGGGGAAAATCTCCGTCCCCATACACACGATTCGCCGCCAAGGGTGCGGCCCCGCGGTTGCGCGGCGACTCCGGGGGAACCGGCCAGCAGTTCGCCCGCCAGAAGCTCAGAGACATTGAAGACGCGTCCAGGCCCCATCCTTACTAGTCCGTGCTCCGTGCGCCGGAGAACATTCCTCGATCGTTCGTCGAGGCTCGGAGCTCGTGCGGCCCAATGTCCCTCTTCGTCATACTGCTCCGGCGCGGGGCATGAAGTCATGACATGAGCATGAGCACCAAAGGTAAAAAAAAAATAATGGAGTGCGAAAAAAAGGGCGGCGGTTCACGGTGAGATGGTATTGGAGGGGTAAGTAACACCGCCCGAGGAACGTGGGAGACCGAACGACTCAAGAAACTACTTTAACCCCCATCGGCCTCCCGTTTCTAGCACGAGCAATTTAATTCTATGAAATTCAAAGTCTTCTGTGTTGATTAAATTTTGCTATTTGTTTGATACCCCCCCAAATTCTACGCAGATTTCTTTGAATCTTTCTCTCTTGTAGTACAGCCCATACAACCTCCCAGCATGTCTCAACAAAACCTTTCCATCGTCCTGGCCGAGCGCCCCAAGGCCGAGATCGTCCCCGGACAGACCTTCAAGTCTGAGCAGAAGCCCGTCCCCAAGGCCGAAGACCTCAAGGATGGCGAGATCCTGATCGAGAACTGGTACCTCAGCCTCGACCCCGCCATGCGCGGCTGGCTCAATGGTACGCATACCCCCAAAACGCTCCCATCAGCATTACGAAAGCTAACCTCCGCCATGCAGACAAGCGATCCTACCTCCCCCCCGTCCAGATCGGCGAGACCATGCGCGGCGCCACCGTCGGCCGCGTCGTCGCCTCCAAGTCCTCCAAGGCCAAGGAGGGCGACGTCCTCCCCGTCTTCGGCGGCTGGTCCGAGTACGCCGTGCTGCACGACAGCCGCATCGAGCCCGTCTCCGCCTTCCCCGCCGTCTCCCAGCCGGTCGACTACCTCTCCGCTATCGGCATGACCGGCCTGACGGCCTACTTCGGCATGCTGCGCGTCGGCGACCCGCAGCCCGGCGAGACCGTCGTCGTCTCCGGCGCCGCGGGCGCCACCGGCAGCGTCGCCGGCCAGATCGCCAAGCTCAAGGGCGCGCGCGTCGTGGGCATCGCCGGCTCCGACGACAAGTGCCGCTGGCTGACTGAGGAGCTCGGCTTCGACGCCGCGCTGAATTACAAGGACCCCGAGTTCAAGCAGAAGTTCAAGGAGGCGACGCCCGACTTTATCAATGTCTACTTTGACAACGTCGGTGGAGAGATTCTTGACATGGCGCTCGCACGCGCCAAGGAGCACTCCCGCTTCGTCATGTGCGGTGGTATTAGCCAGTACAACTCTGCCACCCCTCAAGGCCCCAGGGTAAGCCCTCTTATCCCCAATATTTGATTAGTTTATAATGTCTGACACGCAACAGAACTACGCCAACATCATCACCATGCGCATCAAGATGCAGGGCTTCATCGTCTTCGACTTCATCAAGGAGTACCCCCAGGCCCGCAAGGAGCTCGCCCAATGGCTCGAGGAGGGCAAGCTCAAGCGCAAGGAGACCATCATCAAGGGCGGTCTCAAGGCGGCCGAGCAGGCCCTGGTTGACCTGTACAAGGGCATCAACACGGGCAAGCTGATTGTTGAGATCAAGAACCCCAAGGATGCGGCTAAGTTGTAAGGGAAGAATGGCGATGGGAGGCTCTCTGATGAATGACTTGATGACATTGTATAAAAATGCGTAATGACTATGGCCTTGGTTTCTGAGGCTAGCCCTTAGGGCGAAGTAAATAAAATCATGATAAAGAGCAAGCATTTTCGTGTGCTGCATACTGAGACGAGGTGGTGAATTGTGAAACAGCCCAGGTTGCCAGTGGAGCTGGATGCTACCATTTTAGGAGTGGCATATGGTTCCTTATCCAATCAGCTGATGTTGGCGAATAGGTTGCCTGCAACCTTGCAAACGAGTTGACATGGGTTGTTTTATCACTGGGTTAATTCTATTTAGTCTTGCAGAACATCGTCGCAGGAACACGTTGGCAGTGCTCTTTTCCAAGTAAATCGCAATGTCTGTGACCCATGTCATTGATTATCATACCAGTAGGAAACTGATCACTCATTTACTCTTATAATTGCCAAACTATTCGACGATTGAATATTATATGGATTTCTAGATTTTCGAAGAGAATTGATCGTACCTGAAAATAAAATATCAGGTCGGAACCAATAATGATAGGTAGAACTAATTGAACGATGACCAATGAGAGCATCGCTACAGAATTGAAGCACCCGAGAAGCTAGACCAGACAAGAAACATCACCCGCCCCCATCCCCGTCCATTCGATATCCGCATGTCGTTATGCTTGCAGTCAGCCGAAGCGAAGGCAACTAATAGGCCATCACCACTGGCAAGCGCCACCACAGTGAACACTGCCATCGTTCGAAGTGCCAGAGATGGCCCAGCTGGCGGTGCCAACCAAGTTGGAGCCGATCAAGCCACCCCAGTCGACGCCCTTGTTGCCACGAGGGAAGTGAACAGTAACTCTGCAGCCGATGCCCTGAATGCCAGGGATAGCCTGGTTGTTGAAGGCGGCCTCTTCGCCTCTGCAGTTGCCGGCGTAGTTGACGAAGGTGCTGTCGATGGCGGCCTTGAGGTTGTCGCGGTTGACGCTGTTGCAGGAGCCGGGGTGGTCGATGGTGACGGTCCAGCGCTCGCAGTGGTCGCAGCCCTTTTTCCAGCAGCGCGGCTCGAGGGCGCCGGGGAAGGAGGGAAAGGCGGCGCTGAATCCGTAGAAGAGGAAGAGCGTAGTGAGGAGGAAGAGGACGGGTCGGCTGAGGGTCGCCATTGTGAATGAATTAAGCTCCGAAGGAGTGAGAGGAGTTGAAGACTGGGATTGAAGGAGTGAATGTGTTTGTCCGATGAGATGATACATCTACGACAGTCGTTGTTGGTTTGCGATTATATACATTTCGACTGACGTGCCTTTTGCAGTCGATGATGGCCTCATTGTCGCAAGATCGATTACGTTAGAAGTTGCCGCTAATCCAGACCTCGTGTTTCCTGTACGTTTGCAACTACCCTATGAGAGCCCCAGAATCTTTCACGTTTTTTTTGCGGTCCACGAGATCTCATATCTCACTAGTGACAAAAGTTCGCGATGGTGTTGCGAGACTGCAGTTGACAGCCTCCGACGAGCCGACAACTCTGACAAGGTTTAATGAAACGAACTCCTCGTGGATTTCACACCGCGTGTGAGTGGACAATCATCCAACAAGAATGGGATCTTTGCTAGCCTCACCGGAATTTGAGTTCGTGCGTGGACCCCAAGTAATCTATTCCAGCTCGGATGCTCGGCAGCACAGCTACGACTTGACTCAATGACACGTTTTAGCCACGAACTAACTGGGGCTTCGAAATGTCAAAGTAAATGAATTGAACTCAAGCCTTTATTTTTCCGAACGAACGATGCTTGAACTAGGTATGGAGACATATTTAGGGATTGGATTGATGGTTTTAACCAATGACGATGTGATCATAGACCGCGTGGTAGAGAAGCGAAGTCGAGATGCATCTAGGTTAGTGGAAGGCGAAGGTTTCAACTGGAAGAAGTCGTCAACTACAGACAACATGATATCAACGGAACTAGTCCTATTAAATTCTTCAGAGAATCAATTGATCTGTATAAGTAGTAGAAGTCTCATCGCCAGACCTCGAGTTTTGGTCATCAGAAGCAAGCACACTCCAATAATTCGAGTCTTCTTCAGCATCCATCTAATCATACTTCTTCTTAAATAATAACCCAAGATGCAGTTCAGCTCTGTTCTTGCCTGCCTGGTGATGGCTCCCTTGGCTCTGGCTGTGCCAGCCGACATGCCCTCCCAGGAAAGCTCCCTTGCTCTAAGGGCTGCCGACAACATTGAGATCCCGGATAATCTTCCCGAGGATTGGAAGACTGCTCTCGAAGCCTATTTCAAGGGTATGCATACTTCTGGACAAATAACTCACTACTGGAGACGCAACTGACAGGAGTCATTGTTCTAGACACCGAGCTGGATGTCGAGACCAGAGATCTCGACAAGCGCAGCGATGTGCCTTTCATGCACTGCGGCTGGCGCCGTTTCTTCAGTAAGGACCCAAAATATCAGCCCAAGTGCCCCATCTGACCTGAGTCCTAGGCTGCCTTGGATCCCTTACTCCAGGTGGTGTTACCTGCATGTGGGCAATCGCTGCTCGCGGCCTTGGTAAGCGATGTTTCCTATCTTCGGAAGCCACAAAACACTGACTCTGGAGTAGATGTCAAGGAAGACTCAAAGTGCACGGCCGCCGTCGTTGCCAGCATCTTGTCTGCTGTGAGTTTGGCATTTAACTGACCGTTATTCAAACCGCTGACTTTCCCCACAGTCCAACAACTGCAAGTTGTGTGTCAACGGACACCTCTAGATGGGCTGCGATATCTGTCCATCTTCTCATTTGACAACCCCCAACCCCCAATCTCTATTCTCGGGTGCTAGGCTTGGAGACCTTTACGACGGTGCTGGATGCGGTGGTCTTGACCTGCTTTGATTCTCTTCTACATTGGACGCGACCATTCTTCGCGACTTACTCTTGCTTGGTAATTAAGATAACATTCAAATATACTTTGTATCCTAGTCAAATTAAACAGACCTTCATATTCACGGTCCCAGTTTCTAGTTGCTATTGGTCACCACTTCCACGGAAAGACTTGTCGGCCATCTCGGACAATCAACTCCATTACCATGTGTCCCAACCTGATACCCCAAATGGACATCACCGGCCGTAAATTGAGCGATTGGTTTCACTTGAGAAAAGGTGGTTTTGATGAACTCAGCATGGCGATCTTCGAAGAACGCAGGGTTGAAAAGAGTCGCCGCGTCATGCTCTCGAAGAAGCTTCATCACCGATGGGAGCAAGTAGCTCATCGCGTGGTAGTGACGGAACACAGGTGAGCCGTGTCTTTGCCACAGCTCTGCCCAAACATCCTCTGGATACGTGCCGCATGAGCGAACAAGCCACTGCGAATAGTAGTTGAGTGCGACCTGTTCGAGATATCGTCAGCATGTGCCAAGTGACCTCCAGCCTGGATTGCTTACGTCAATGCCGTAGCTGCCACCTTGTTCCGACCGCCTGACCAGTGCATCAAGAACAGCCGCGCTACCACATATGCCGGTACTATTTTACGGTTTAGTGAAATATGCAAGTCGCATGCGGAGGAAACTTACCAATAGTCTGAGTTTGGAAACACAGGAGTCACCGCTTCGTCGTGACCCATGGCTCTACCGTAGCCCATAGATACACCACAACACTACGTTCGGTTAGAGGAGTAATCATTACCAAAGAGCAACGCGCACTTACTGCATCGCTGATTTGTTGCCAACCACTTCGGTGATTCCAAGGTCCGTGCCAACCGTAGCAGTTCTCTCGAACATGAATGATGCCGCGGGGGCGGTCCTTGACAAGATCGTAGATGGCTTGGCGACCGAAACCATGGCGCTCCATGACACCAGGCCTATACCCATCCACCACAACGTCAGCGTCGCGTATCAGCTCTCGTAACTTGTCCTTATCACCAGGCTTCTGCAGGTCTAGGTGGCAGTTCCATTTGCCCCAGTTCAAATCCTGGTGAAGGGCTGAGAGATCCGTGATATTGGGTGAGGTCACTCTCATCACACTAGCTCCCATCTCTGCAAGACTGCGACTGATAGCCGGGCCGGCAATGACGCGTGTCAAGTCGACCACTTTCAGGCCTGCGAGCGGTCTGATAGACTTCGAGTCTGGACTCTGAGGAACTGTCGCAGGCCACCAACTTGCCGGCTGACCAGATTCTGTATCCTTTGAAAGCTCGTAGAGTCCAACTTTGGCGCATTGCTGTCCCTGCTCAGTCGCCGAGTATCCATCTGCGGTGTAGGCAATGGTGCCAGCTTGACGATATTGCTCATTCATGAGCTCGTCCAGATCAGACGAGTCCAGCCGGGATACAACATCCTGGAACCTGCGGACGACGATATCATAATTATCGTTGATATCCCCTTCCATTGGCAGGCCGAGTGCTGTTAGCGTCGGCTCCGGATTCATACTACCTGGTCAAGTCAGAAAAGATTGTAATCTAGCGCACGTGAAAGACGTAGCACACCGTGGATATGATAATGGCGAGCATCGCGTGTCCTGTAGATGTTGGTCGCCAGAGTTCTGTGCAAACCGTCTACGGCACGATGCTTGTCCTCATTCGGGAAAAGCTTTTGAGTCTCAGGAGACATGGGATCGAATGGGATGCGTCTTCCGTCTCGGACCACGGAAGCGACCATTGGCGTCATGAAGAATAACGTGGCATGGTCCCTGGAAATACTCGTAAGATCATGCCCATCGTGAATCAATCATTGATCGGGATGCTCACGTGTTGATCGTGACTTCTGCATTGCTCAAACCATATTTCTTAGACAGGAGTTGCATCAGTAGAAGAGCTTCGTATGCGTTCAGTGCCGAAATGCTTTCTGCAAACCGCCAATTGACAGGGACGCTCGGTAGGTCGGAACCCTCGAATCGAATGCGCTTGCTCAAGGCCAAAAGCTCCGGTGACAGGGGTCCGACCAAGGGGTTGTTGAGAATCCCTTCGCAAAAGACTCTCGATGCCTCTTGAGGCACAGAGTACTGGATCCTGGAACCCATTACCAGAAAGCCTAAGTCAAATGTATTTGACTCGGAGATAATTGTCCAAATCTTTGATGTCGGGGACTATTTATGGTGTATTTGGTCATGTCACGAAGTGAGGGGTTAGGTTGCTCAAAAGCCGTGTCAATCCCGTCTCAACTTGCTGAAGAATGGCCGGGAGAATGCTACGTCGCGTGCATTCGCATCGGCAAGGGCTCCTCCGGCGATTTTGTGCTAGATGTGCAAAATTTACCACATAGCAATCCCCGAAAGCGTGTGCCATTGGGTCAATCGTGTCGCTTCCCCATTCCGGCGGGGTGAAAGTCGCACGGTCGACAACACAAGCTACGTTCGGACTTCGGCCGCGTGAATACTTTCCGCGGCCGTAATGAGCATCACACTTGAGCACATTGTTGCTACCGAATCTCTAGTCGAACACCTACCGGACTAGGTCCGCGATCCGTTTCACAAATTTTCATGTTTGAAAAACCACCTACTAGACATAAAACCGACCTTCCTTTGGGGGCTTAGGTTCGTCTAGGACTGTACCAAAACTCAAATGCCCAATTTCTGCTGCCTCCTGTCCATCCAACTCGACCCTTTCGTACCAGCTCTTCGGCATCTCCACCTCGCCCCATCTCAGGAGAAAGAGAGACATGTCGGTGGACTGGCTGGGAGCACTCGGTCCTTCCTCCGAAACCGCAATGCTTGATGCTGGTCTCAATTCTTCCAGCTCGGTTGCTTGGCCTTCATCATCATGGTCAATCCTAGTGGGAATCTTGGCTATGGGTGAGACACGACATGCAGCGGCCATCGCCATAGAGTTTGACCCAACAACAGGCATATAGCCAGCAACCTGTTTTCTCGAGAGGATGATGGGTATGATCATCATGATGCCTCCGATGACTGCGAGAAGCAATACTGGCAAAGATGCTGTTCCAAGACCGACGACTGTGTTCGGGGGAAGGCTGATGGGATCTCCTTTGTATCCTCCATCTGACCTATTCAGGCTCATCTCAAAGTAGTCTGTAGTGCATGAGTATCTCTACTACACCTAACAACGTGAGAAAAATGACTTACTGCCTTGAGACACGATGACGAACAAGGAGTTGGAAAGCAGCCAGTGAAGTACTATACTCGCTGTAATGAGAGGGATGCTCTGTCTATAAGGTAGCTGGAGCCTGTATGTATCGATTTGTTGACCCCTTCGAACCGTAAGTCTTTGTCTTCAAACCGCTTCACAGAAGGACGGATGTTCGATTACCTCGGAGACGATACGCGTAACGGGCGATACCCAGTAGAGAATCGCGACCATTCCCTGGCGATTTCCATCCGTGTGATGAGTGTGTTATAAGCGAGATACCAGAATGAAAGGTATAGTTGAGGTACGTTGGCGACGAGTACCGATGAGATGAATGCCACACCACCATCTATGGCAGAGAGGACGCTTTTCGATTCCGCAGGATTGGTCTTTATCCATCTCCTAGAACTATATCAGCCAAGACCAGACCATATCATAGCCCGATATTCATTTGCCATTCAAGGGCCAACTCACAGTGGGATACTGCTAGAAAGTTGCTTGGCGCAGCAGGCGATCGCTACGACAACACCGAAGACCAAGATGACGTATGTACTAATCCAAGCCTTAGAAGATATGCAAGCACCTGTAGTCCTCGAAGCGTTAACCCATTGGGTAGGTCCCGCACGCTCATACGCAACATTGTCTTTCTTTCTCTTTTTGGCCTCTGTGAATATACTCAAATTCGAGAAGCCAGGCTGTTCGATGTTGACGTCAGCCTTCGAAATGAAAGATGCAATAGCATCACCGGGGGTTACAAGGGGCTCTTCGGAACCCAGGAACTGTATCGCTACGATGCAGGCAATGAGCTTGATCAAGACTGAAACAACGACAGCGAGAAGGAGGGGTTTTGAGAGGGCTACGCCGCAAGCCCCGCTCAAGTCCCTAGGTTCTGCAAGACAGTATTCGATCTCCAGGTTATACGAGGAATCTCGATATCCAAAGACTGGTGCGGATTCATTGCCTGGCGCCGCGTACAATGTCGAATTCCATCTAGTGATTCTGGGCAAGCTTAGGGGATCCGTAAAATTCCACGCCATAGGCGGAAAGTACGGAGTCGATGATGCCTCATACCAGTCAAACGTCGGAATTTGCCAGAGTCCCGAAGAACTCGGGGTGTCCACTAAGTCGGCGCAAGTATTTTGGCACAGTGGGTTGCTCTCCACGATGATACCTTTCATGCTGCAAGGTGTCGAGAGCCACAGATTGTTGATTTCGTTGCTTGGCACCACGGGTTCCCAAAGGGCGTTTGCCGAGTCAGAAAGGTTCCAAAGATCGGACCTTTGCCACCCAGACCCTTTAGAGATAAGAATAACGTTCCGATATTCCCGAAGCCCGTTGCAGTCCGACCTGGACCCTACGTAGAGGGCACTGCACTCGGTTGTGCTTAACCTATGCCATTGGGACCCCTGTTTTGCCGCTTTTGTGACGTTCACTACGTCTGTTGAATTGCGGTCGGTCGAGTATGCTTCGAATTTGAAAGATCGCTGATCCCCAAAGGGAGGCAAATCACTCGACCATTCGTGACGGGTGTAGTTCGAAAATAGGTCGTCGGTGTACAGGCTCGCTCCAGGTAGAAAAAAGGGCCCCCCCTTCACAAAAGAGTCGGTAGCAATCGTCAGGTGGAAGTCACCCATTCGGCTGTCGACCTGGAAGATTGAACTGTTGAAAAAGACATGTATAGGAACAGAGCTTAGAAAAAAGATAATCCAACTCCACAGCTTAAAGCGGGAAAGTCTGAATGCATTCCGCCACGAAGGTATCCCAATGTCGAGCCAATCACCTGTGGCGTGTGTCTCGTCCACTTCCTTCCTAGACGGAGAGTTCAGGACCTGCATAAAAAAGCTAGACGAGGCGAGGATAATGGTGGAGAGGATATTGAGGAGAAGATGTAGCATGGTGTTCGTAACACCGGAACTCCTACTTCTGCAGTCTGCTGTGTAGAACTTCCATACTTGTGCCACATTTCCGGTTTTTGATATTGCTGCGATCAATATGCTGAGAAGTACCACGAAGCAGGTTGACATGAGGCAGACGTTGACAATCGCTGCACGGCGCCAACCAGTCGGGAGCTCTGGCCTCATGCGACTAAGCCTGGAAAGTCTTGGCCGATTTATAATAGAGGGCATTTGGTTGCCAAAATGAGAGACAGACGATCGAAGGTCTGTTGAAGTAGAGTTTTACAATTGGGAGGTGATAGAAGACCATCGCCGCGATCGCGGGCTGCAGCTGTAAATATGGCAAAAGCAATCAGGCTGAGCTCCCTCGGCAAGAGACAGGGGTGATGCATTGTTGATGGAGATTCAAAATTAGGAGCAGGGTTATGGTGTTTGAATTGCAGAACCAACGGGTTGCTGCACTGCACAGCCGGGCAACGATGAAAAATTGATTGGTCGAAAATCCAATTGAAGCTGGGCCGCCATCACCAACGCCTCGGATCTGCATAGGCCCTTGTCATTTTTAGCCACTCAAGACTTGCTTGGGCACGGTTCGATGATTTGAGAGTAAGCACAGTGGATCAATTATCGGATCACTACTTCAGAGAGGAAGAAAGCAGGGCCTTGCAATTGAGGGTACCTGACATACCACGATCTCATCCTAGACTTTTCCGATCCCCTTCCATGCAGATTCCAACAACGTACGAACGCTGGTCGTCTCTATATCGGGAAATCTCTTATTGAGGGTGTAAGCAGGTTCAAGATTGCATTTCCCCGATTCCCACATGATGCCGAAGAAAGCCAAGAGGCCCTGCATTTGTTCCTTGGGAAAATAAGGATAATACGCCTCATGGGACGGAAGCTCGGTGACCCTCCCAGCTTTAAGATTGTCCATAGAGTCGTGTGTGACGCTAAATTTGTTCCCTTGACTTCCTCTGCCAGAGCCACGACTTCATTTAGAGTCATTTTGTCCCCGATGATGTACATCTCTTTTTCCCAGTGATCAAGAGCGAGAGCTCGGATCACAAACTTGGGAATGTCGAAGCTGTACGTCAGTACGACAGGGACTGAGCCAGAGCCTGGAATGGCAGCGACGTTGTGAACCATGTCAACCAGGACGACCAAGGGTGTCATGTACGACTTGCCACGAGGCATAACGAAGTAGTCAGAGAGAAAGCCAGTCAGGAAACATGTCCACTCGAGCGAGGAAGCTTCGAGAGCTTGCATCGCTTGAACCTTTCCCTCTGCAGCGGGGAACACCTTTGACTCCCTGATTTTCACAGGTCAGCTATGTCAATCTGCGGTTAGACAAGCTTGGCTAGGTGAGGCTCACTCTGGGGTGTAAGTGATGCCCCACACATTTGCGACGTATCTCTTCGTCGCGGTTGACTGGTTCGCAGCCTTGATGAGGTTGAGCTCGGACTCGATGCCAAAGGAGGAGTTAAGAGTCGAGATGACGGTATCGATCGAATTCGCCTCTAGGACAGTACTGATCTGATCAGAATCAGAGTAGTCGACGGCAACAATACGGGCGCCGATTTCAGCCTCTTTCTCGGGATTGGTCTATAGTCGAGATCAGGATATCTGCGTGTGCAGATTCACGTCCGAAAAGGTAATCAACGATTTCTGACCTTTCTTGCGAGGATGACCACGCGATGAGTCCCATCACGAACAAGACCCTCGACGATCGTGCGTCCCATGGCACCGGTTCCTCCAGCAACTGCAATGACGCCCATTGTGAAACTTGCGAAGTGAAAATTGTCAGGTAAAGGCTAAAGTGGTTGGATAATTTGTAGGTATTGCGAGGTGTGCGTCCAAGAATTGATGGCTCTCATCGTAAAGCAATACTCATTACACATTCTCAATATATAGAATACCGCGGCTTACACTGAAAGGCATAAGAAATCCATCGAAGAATGTGAGAATGATTTTTGGTTCCGATTACAAATGTCAGCTTAGCCTAGCGAGTCAACTACATTGAGTATAAACCTTAAATGACCCCCTCCACGTGGTGGGCTTAGGATGTGTTGGAGCCAATTGAGCGTCCCAGCCGGCAAAGAGTACAGCCGCCAACCAAGCTATCCTAAATGTCAAGATTCCAGGGCATGTGTGATCCTATGAAGCGTGGTTTGCAAGTATCCCTCTCTCAAGGGGCTCATCTTGCCCAAAAGAGACTACTATCCAGTTTCTTCATACCTAATCTCTTTCAATAAAGTTATTCCTATTCCCTGGTACATAATGTTATCACTGGGAACAAGAAACGTTCACTTGATCTAATACGCGTATTGTACCTGCCTCCACCTATTTATGGAAATTAGACGGCCTCACTTGGCGTTATTCTATTGAAATTCACCGGTCGTTTCCACGGTCACATTTCCGTATCATATTTATCGATATTTAACATGAACATTGAGTTGGACGAGCATAACAGATGGGTCTGATAGCTATCCGGAGATTCTCGCGGCTTACAAATAAGGGTGTCGTTCCTTGCAAGGAACCAGAGTGACGGATTGCGGGGACGTGCTGCAACCCCCTAGCCGGCCAGTTGCGGACATCAACATACATATCCTCCCGAGAACAATGTACACGGTCAATTTTGGGAGCATACTTCCAAGAACAGTGGTCTTATCTCTGGAATCCCGCGGACCTAGGTTTTGACCGGGACCGAATTATTAAGCTCTCTTAGGTCGACGTAGACTACGTGAGGGACAGTTCGCTGCTTATGAAGCAATTCGACATCTCGACTATTGAAGTCGGTGACCAAGACTTTGCTGGGATCACTGAATGACCATGTTCTGTTAAAGATTCTTCCTGCGATTGGTATAAAATGCGGCTATTCAACCTCATTTTGAATGTATTCCCCTGCTGACATCCAATCCCTTCATCGTATTCCTGCCCTCGAACCCGGGGTTTAGCTTTCTAAGGCACTACGAAGATTGTTCAACAATGGCGCTTAAGCTTTGGGGCTCTCCGACGTCCGGCTGCACTCACCGAGTGATGATTACTCTAAATGAGCAGGGGATCGAATACGACCTATCTCAGATCACCCTTCAAAAGGGGGAGCAAAAGATTTGAGACTAACAAATTCTCCATACTGCGATCTGGTCCTCACAACATGGCTCAGGACCCCGATTATATCAAGGCGTACCACCCATTTGGACGCATCCCCGTTATCCAAGACGGTGACCTTCAGCTGTTCGAATCTCGGGCCATCTGTCGCTACATCGTTGCCAAGTTTGGTGCCTCCAGTTCGCTGGATGTCATCACTAGCGGCGACCCGATCATGATTGGGAAGTTTGAGAAAGCACTCAGCATCGACTACTCCTACTTTGACCCGTCTGTTCGAACCTTGTGCAATGAAAAATTGTGGAAGAAGTAAGATTGGAAAACACAAAACTTCAACATAGGCCCTATGCTGACCATGCCATATAGTCCTGCTGAGGCCGCTAATCCTCTCGAGGTAGAAAAAGCGACAGCCATGTTCAGGACGGCATTGGACTATTACGAGGAACTGCTGGGCTCCAATGATTATTTGGCTGCCAACGTAAGATTGAACAGCTCTTACATCATTCATCCACAGCCATTTCTAACATCCAATAGAGCTTCAGTCTTGCCGACGTTTACGTCTTCACTTGGATGCCCTATATCAAGTTCCTCGGCTTGTACGACGAAGTTGCCGCTCGCCCTAAGTTTGAAAGCTTGTGGAAGCGGGTGTCGACCCGACCGTCCTGGCAGAAGGTCTTGAAGGACATGCCGCAGTGAATTAATTCGCCATGCGTGCTTGCGATTTTGCACTTGGCTTGGTCAGATCAGGCGTCACATAGGGTCGATCTGTTGGCGGCAGTCTTACCACCCACATGCGGGAAGCGTTCACCGTTCCCCTAAATATCTTACATTTCTAGCTATCTAAGCCGAATTCTTTGGTACTTGCACCATGGTAGATTGCTCATGTGCTTGAGCAGCTCTCCATTCATGACCCCATGTACATAGGCTTCGCCAATCAACCGGTACGTTCCGTCATCGTAGCTTGCGAGAACATACGGAACTTTAGCGCCCTTCATGATATGCACTTGGTAAACGCAGTTCGTCTCCTGAAACAAGGATCGAGGCCCAATTCCTAGAAGGCCTGATCTCGTCGTGAACAATCTTCTGCCAGTCAGCATGATCTTCATCCTCTTTTCAAAAGAGTCTATGTATTCTCTTTCCTCCTTGGTGAAGTTTTTCAACGCGTGCTCCCTCCATTGTCCATTGATGGCAGCCTGGGGGTCACCGTCGTAACCTCGGAGGTCGCCTGCCGGTTTTGTTCCGTTCAAGAGTCTTCTAAGCCTGGACGCCAGAGGAAAGAACTTATGACTGCTGAGAGCAAAGCCAACCCAGCTCTCCTCTTCGTCCTCCTGCGCAGCTAGGTCTTCGATGGTGTCCGCTTCAAGACTGAATTCAATTGTTTCTCTCGTCAAAGGAATGTGTCGCTCACGGTAGATTGCGGCATAGGCAGATAGTGTCGTCAGGACACGCCGCCAAGCAGCGCCCGTGACTTGGCTGTCTGCGCCGAAGTTTTGGCATAGGTACCACATCTCAAGAATGCCGGCCTCGATCCAGTTAGAGAATCCGTACCCGAGAGAAGGTGGTGCTGGATGGGTCATTAACTTTCTCGGGTCAGGGTTGAAGCCTATCCTTGAGCTAGGGAGCATGTCTCCGACTAACGTTCGCCACATAGCTTCAATCCGAGTGACGGGCCGTATCTCGTACGGTGTCTGCCTCCCGCTCAAATTTGACTCCTGGGCTTCTTCTATTGCGTCCTCGCTCGAATTAGGATGTGGGGTTTCTGACCCGATGTCATTGAGGCTTTGCTCAGCTTTGGCGCCGACTGTGCCCCCCTCGCTAAGGATTACGGAATCATCATTGACAGAGTTGGAATAGACTGGCTGCTTGTTTTGGGATGTTGGTTGATGCAGAGTGGGTTCTTGCGGGCTTTTGACTGTATGCGGGTCAGGCAGCTCACTGTGGAACCCCTGAGTGTCCTTGCGCGGCAAAACAACATCGGTACTCGCTTGTGCGTCTTGCGAAGATGTTGGCTCAGCTTGTTGCGACACATTCTGGTCTTCAGCAGGCACACCAACCTGCTGTATCTCAAATCTCCCAATTGGGTATCGGTGCGGAACTCTGAGCATTAATTTCAACACGCACAGGAGTAGGTCTTCGGCATTGTCGCCAGCCATCTCGCTTGTCATGATGAAATCCAGTTCGATAGTCTCGACCTCGATCGTATCGTCAGCATGGATTTCGAACCATACTTCGCTGTCAGGCCCTGAAGAATGGAACGGCACGTCGTCATCTCCTGTATCGAGCGGCGTGCAGGACAGCCTGGCGCTGAAATCCGGCACCCATCCCGGCAAATGAGGAATCTGTGTGTCGCAGGGCTCTTGTATCTGTGAGAAAATAGATAGCGACTTTGTCGTTCTCAAGATGGCCTCGGCAGTTTTCCTGAAGACACTCTGTACGCTGGCCTTGTAATCCGGTACCAAAGCCAGTTGATCTGCGTCCGACGCGATATTGAGAAAGGCGAAAACCTTGTCGCGCGGATCGGTTGCGTCTGTACCTCGAAACAAGCCTAAGACGCGCAGAAGAGGAGGGGCCTCCATGTACATTCTCTCTCCATCCTTCCGAAGACGAAACATAAGGCTCCAGATCGCGTTTGTGAAAGACAGGCCGTCCATGCCCTCACTCGCCCTTCCGTGGATGTTTATAAAGTCGTCAGTGTTGACGTCCTCGCTAACTTCGTCGCCAAACGTAGATAGCTTGCGGAGTTGACGCACATTGTCAGACAAAGGCTCGCCGTCGAGAAAGTTGTATCCGAATTTTAGCAGTTCCTGTTGAAGTCCTGACTTCTTCAGCATTTCGCTGATCATGCAGATCCACTCCCAGGGAAGCAGACGCCCGCCGTGGATGACGGTGATGACGTTCTGTCGCCATGAAGCTGCTTCTTGAGTAACCCAAGCACGTCGGAACCAAGTGCGTTGAAAAAACGCAAAGACGGCGAACCAGTGAACAAGATCCATTCCGGGAATATCCGAAAGTGTCATGCCCCCTTCGCAAGTACCAAGGTCAGACATGTAAAGTATTCCAAGGCCTGTAATAGCGTCTTCGGTCAATCCATCTGGAGGCCCCAACCAAGCCAGAACCCTCTTTGCGCCTCGAAAGATCGATCTCATTAATTGCACTTGAGACGCTCTCTCGTCTAGGTCTTCTTGATTGATACATAGCGCATCGATCCAGAGGGGATTCATGAAAAGCTCGCGTTGATCCCCATCCGCTTCTTCTCCGTTCTCTGGTTTCGGCCTGTTCTGCAACCCATGCTTCCAATAAACATACTCCTTGAGAAAGCAATACAGGTTCTCCTGCACATAGATCAGCCTGCCATCGAGCTCTATCGGCTGCTGTTCCTTTGGAGCTGTGTCGAGTCTCATTTGGGGAATCCATGGGTGTCTCTCGACGTAATATTTCATGGCATAGTCAGTGTTGTGTATCGTGATACCACTTGGTCCCTTTGACTCGAACACGAACGGGAGCTTGATGAAGTCTTCTGGGTTTTTGTATTCTTCTGGTTCAGGCGCTGGCTCCTCGATGATGGTTGTGGGGCTGCCCCAGGTGTAAGATAGGCAGACGTACGGAGGTTGCTCGCCGAGATCTACGGTCGTCATTCTGCCCCGAATGGCGTCTGTAGTCGAGGGCAGGA